GAGCTGTGGCTCAAGTGGTAGAGCGCTAGCCTTGAGCTGAAGAGCTGAGGGACAGTGCCCAGGCCCAGAGTTCAGGCCCCACAACCGGACCCCCCAAAAAAATTAAAAAAAAAAAAGCCAGAAGTGCCGGGCCTCATGCATGCAAGGCAAGTGCTCTATCACTGAGCCACCTTCCCAGCCCCACTTCTGGCTTTTTTGTGAGAAGAGTCCTACAGAGTTTCCTTCCCATGCTGGCTTTGAAACTCAGCCTCCTAGGTAGCTAGAAGTATAAGCTGAGCCATCACCACGTGTTTTCGTTTCTTCTTTGAGGTGCCACCACACTATCTCCCACAGCAGCAGAAGCATTGTATAGTCCCATCAGCAATGCACAAAGTTCTAATATGTGCCTCTCCTTTTCTGCTCTTATAAGTCTTCTTGTCGAGCCAGCAAGAGCACAGTGAGTGGCTACTTCCTGGCAGGCCGGGACATGACATGGTGGCCGGTGAGTACACCCTGACCTCTTGGGAGTTCTCTTGTTCACTGGGCTCCATCTAACCTCTAGGTCCGCTGGCAGCTGCAGCCCCGAGGTCACTTCCTGTATCATTCTCCCCTAAGGTACCCAGTGCCAGCTCAGTGGGACAGGTCTGACACTGACAGAAGATTCCCAAGCTGGGAACATAGGAAGAGGCTTCTGGAAGTTGCATAAACTTCTGTGACTATGTGTCTGAAACTTTGCTCCTTAGCAGATGGCCATGGGTCCATCAAGTCACTCCCTGTGCCTGGTATCCTCATCTGTGAAGGCGGCCTGTGAGGCTGAGGGGGAGGCTGATGGGTCCATGCTGGGGCTGGGGTCATGGGTTTGCCCCTCGCTGATTTTCCTGTCTTCTCTCCAGATCGGAGCCTCCCTCTTTGCCAGCAGTGAGGGCTCTGGACTCTTCGTGGGACTTGCGGGTTCAGGAGCTGCTGGAGGCCTGGCTGTGGCAGGCTTTGAGTGGAATGTGAGTCCTGGGGGATGGGCACAGCCTGTGGGAGGCACAGACTGCAGCCAGCTTGGCTGACACTGGGGTGGGGGCAGGGACACAGCTCCCACAAACACATGTCAGATGGTGTCCAGCAGACTCTTAGCAGGCTGATCTTCAAATGACACTGCTCTGGTCAGTGCAGTTGGAAGGGGGTTGCTAAGCTTGGCCCAGCCCATCTGCTGGGGGGAAGGGGCCTCCCAGGTTCTCACAAGTCAGGGCCTGGGGCAGCTGCAATCCTCACTTGCCTCTGTCCCTCCAGGCCACATACGTGCTGCTGGCTCTGGCCTGGGTGTTCATACCCATCTACATCTCCTCTGAGGTGAGCCTATGCTGGGGCCATAGCTGGGGGTGGGACTGTTCCCCATTGGGCCAAGTTGATACCAGTGAGCAGGACTCTTGAAACCTCATATCACAAGTTGCTGCACCAGGAGGGTGAGGTTTGTTATTGGTGCAACTAACAGACCTCAGGCTGCACGTGTGGCTACTTACTTCTGCTGACCATCATGCTGCAGCTCAGCATTTATGCTCCTTCCCCTCAGCACACAGATGCGCACCTAGGTAGCATCTCTGGGCTATGCACCTGGGCAGCACATCTGGGCTACACACCTGGGTAGCATACTTGGTGACATGTCTGCATGCATTGTCTTTAACTGCCCATTCCTTCATCCCTGGCCCTGCCTGCAGTCACTAAATCCAGTGGATTTCACTCCCTGGCCTCTTGGCCTCCCCCGTGCCATCTCCCCATCAGCCCCACCATGGCTGGTCTGGCTTAGTCACACCAGCCTCCAAACTTGTCCCTCTGTTCCCAGTGGTGCTCCTTCAATGCATCCCTCCTTTCAGCCCTGAGGAGCCAGTCTCAGCCCACCACTCCTCTGCCACCAGCTCTTAGCAGTTAGAAGTCAGCCTGGAGTTCCAGCCAGGACCAGAGCTGTAGTGGGTCTGTGGCCTTGCCTTTGCCCTCAAGAGATTCCATGGCAGGGAGAGGCAGCGATGAGCACAGGCCTAGCCCGATCTTCTGTGTGCCTGCAGATCGTTACCCTGCCTGAATACATCCAGAAGCGCTTCGGAGGCCAGCGCATATGCATGTACCTGTCTGTCCTGTCTCTGCTGCTGTCTGTCTTCACCAAGATATCGGTGAGCTGCCCCGACCCCACCTTCTGTCAGCATATCCCAGATCTGAGACCCCCCAAAATGACTTACCTGGCATCTTCTCATCTATTTCTGCCTTTGGTGCAGCTAAGGAAAACTGAGGCCTAGAGAGGGACAATGACCTAACCAGGTTCACACCGCAAGCATAGGACAAATGGTCCAGGACCCCTGAGGTAGAGGCTCAGATTCAGGCTCCATTGCTCTGAGGTGAGCCAGGACCTGCCACCAGAGGGCGCCAGAGCCTTGCAGCATCTGCAGTAAACCACCTCTTCCTTCTATCCTGACTAGGACAGGAGAATCCAGCGATTCCTGGGGGTAAGGGTGGAGGCCTGGCCCTGGGAATGTCAAAAGAAGGATACCCACCTAGAAAGAGTCAGAAGGAGCTCAGGAACAGGTGTCTCCGGTGACTCACACCTGTAACCTAGCTACTCAAAAGGCTAAGATCTGAGAATCACAGTTTGAAACCAACCTAGGCAGAAAAGTACCTGAGACTCTAAGATACTGCTCAAGTAGTAGAGCATTAACCATAAGTAAAAACGATAAGGGATAGCACCCAGTACACACACACACACACACACACACACACACACACACACACACGGACCTGTGATGGCCTCACTTGTCTATCATAGAGCCAAGAGATTTGCTTACTCTCTAGTGGAGGGGCCTGGCCTTAGGCTACCCCTGAATTTCCTTCTTCCTGGAAGCTGGGGCTACAGTAATAGAACAAACCCTAGAACTGTCTGGGGCCCACACAGTAGACAGCCAGTGCACAACAGGAGAAATGATTGCGGGGGAGGGGATACTTCGAATTGAGCTCCAATGAAGAAAGAGATGTGGGTGGGAAGGGGAACAAGCAAGTGCCCAAAAGCAGTGAGATGGGGCACTGTGGGATGTCAGGGCTAGACGGGTGGTCTCTACACTGGCCACTTCCCGGGATCAAATAAGAAAGGGTGTGAGGTGAGAAGCTGAGAGGGAGGCGTGAGGACAGGGCAAATCTGAAATCATGCTTCAGTGTTCACAGACTCAGAATCAGATACCACATTTGGCTTGGGGAGGCCACCAGCTGTGCTAGAGGACTGAGGGCTGAGAGCCAAGGCTGGGGAGTTAGACTGTGAGAGGGTGAAGAGCCCAGGGCATGGGGGCATTAAGCAAGGCAGTGACAGAATCAGGTTTGCATCTTAATGCTCTTTGGAACCCCCAGTAGCCAGCCCAGAGGAGCCAGGAAGGAGGGAGGCATAGGGGAGGGAGGCTGAGCCCTGATTCTAGTCTACTCCCATGTGGTCTCCACAGCTGAGCTGACTTCTGGGATGAGAGAAGAATTTGGTTGAGTGAGAGAGTTCTCAGGGACAAAATTATAGATGAGAGTCCTGAGCGCCCTGGGTCCCTGCTGGCCATCCCTTGGCTGAGGTTCCAAGGCAGAAAGACTATTTAGAGCCCAGGACTCTGCCTCCAAGCCTGAGGCCTGGCCACCACCCCACTAAACCACAACAGCCAGGACAAGGTGCTTCAGACTCTACCTCGGAATGGGGTGACTCAGGGCCCCCAACTGTAAAATGGGGAGTACCTAGTACCAGGCTGCCTGAAGAATCAGAGGGGAAGCTGGGGAGTGCTCATTGCCAAGCTTGGTCTGGGAGGAGCCTGGAGCCACCCTGGCTGTAGCTTTGGAGTGGAGCTGTTTGAAGTGCTTCCCACCAGCCTGAGACCCTGACCTCAGCAGCCACACCCCAGGCATGCCCCCAGCCCTGAAGCAGAGATCATGCAGCCTCCCTGCTGTCAGTACTGACAGCCGTCAGAGGCTCGCCACTTAGCTCAGACAGGGAGACTGAGTACAGCTCCACCTCTGAGGTTCTACACCAGTCATTTAACCTTTGGGAGATAGGGAAGCCAGGCATGATACCACAGGTCCCTTGAAGTACAGGACATTTTTGGCCAACGTGTTGTCCATCACTGACACCCAGCTACTTCACTGATGGCACCTCTTTGTCTTCTCCCCATTACACACACTGTTCCAGCCATATTGGCCTGCTTGTATTACCAAGAACAGTCCAGCAACCCTGGAGCCCTCTTCTACCTAGTGTCCATGGTTCCCTCACCTCAGTTCAAATCTCTCCTCCCTCACTCCTGCTCCAAGCCCAGCCATGTCACCCTTCTCTCCCTTTTTTTCATACCTTTAGCATCTTCCGTAATTGACTTAGATCATCTATCGTCTCTTGCCCCACACTTTTTATGTGCTAGTATTGGGGCTTGAATTCAGAATCTGGGCACTGTCCCTTAGTTGTTATTTTATGTTTTTTTTTCTCAAGGCTGAAGCTCTACCACTTGAGCTATAGCTCTACTTCAAGCTTTTTGCTGGTTTATTGGAGGTAAGAGACTTACCTACCGGGGCTGACTTCAAACTGCTGTCCCACCAGCACCAGCACCTGGCTCCCCGTTTTCTCTTTGTTCACTGATGTGCTATTGTGTGCCTAGCACCCCTCCTGGGACTCAGTGAGGTCATACATAGCAGAGATCTGAGTTGTTGTTTTTTTTTTTTTTTTACCGGTCATGGGACCTGAACTCTGGGCCTGGGCGCTGTCCTTCAGCTCTTCAGCTCAAGGCTAGCACTCTACCACTTTGAGCCACAGCGCCACTTCCAGCTTTTTCTGCTTATGTGGTGCTGAGGAATTGAACCCAGGGCCTCATGCATGCAAGGCAAGCACTCTACCACTGAGCCACCTTCCCAGCCCGTTTTGTTTTTCTATAAAGAACCAGGTAGTAAACATTTTCAGCTTTGAGGATCACGTGGTCTCTGTCCTAATTCCTCATCTCTGCCAGCCATGGACAATATGGGCTGGGATTGAATTTGACCCAAAAGCTTTCTGATCTAGGAAAACATGTCTACAATTTATTGTGCACCTACTGTGTGTCTGGCTCTGGGTGAGCAGCCCAATCTCAGGAAGGCTTTGTAAGAAGGCAATCCTAGTGGGCAAGTGTCCATTCTCACTCCATCTGTACCAACTGAACTGTGGTCTGACTTTCCTCTGCACAGCTGCACAGGCACAGCCTGCTCTAGGCAGAAGCAGAGATGGCTGTGTTTGGGGAGAGGACCCTCAGCAATAGCTGGTGGGGTGTAGACAGAGGGTGTGGCAAAGGCAAGAGGTTCCTGTTTTGAGTGTCCAAGGGTTAGTGACAGCCTGAGCAGAAATGGGCAGGATCAGGGCAGGGGCATTAGGGGATGAAATGGGAACTTGGAACCGCCAGCCAAGGGATCTGCTAGCTTCTCTGCCAATCCATGGAAGGAAGAGAGGGGCTCCACGGAGGAAGCTGGCAAAGTAGGGTCAGGAAAGGGAACAGATGAGAGGACAGGAGCACCGGGGCAGCCCCAAATGGAGGGAAAAAACAAGGCTTCTTCAATGCATGTTGGGGTTTCAAGCTGTAGGGAGCCCCACAGGTCGGCCTCTGCTGGCCAGTAATGGTACTGGATCCAAGTGCACATTCCCCATGGCAGCTCAATGGTGCCAGGAGTGGGAATGCCTGCTCTCAATGCTATACTGTTCTGGGGGACTCTAGCCACAAGGTTTCTTCCCCAGGAGCTCACTGGCCCCAAGTCACGCAGCAGGCTAAAAGGGGCCTTGGCCTGTAGAAGGTGGCACAATGTTGGAGTCTTGTGGCGGAGGACCAGGGGTGGGACAGTGGCAGGGGGCGTGGCTAGCTCCTCCAGCAGGCAGCCAGTGGGTTGCAGCAACAGAAGCCCCTGCAGGCTGAGCCCGGGTGCTCAGCCCACTGAGCAGCGGTCTAGAATAAGGTCCTGGCTTGCCTCACTGTCCTCCACCCGGGCTGCAGGTGCCTGGTGGTGTTCTTGTGACTGTCTCAGGTGTTTACCACAGTAAGCAAGTTCCTCTACTCTCTGAGCCTCTGTCCACCTGGGTCTTCAGGGAATTGGGCACTGCAGGTGCCCTTGGGCCACCAAAGGAGAGGCACATAGAGGAGAGGAATCCCTTCAGAAGTCACCTGACTTCCTAGACCTCCATGCCAGGCCAGCAGGTGGCAGATGAGGAGGACTGCAAGAAGGCCAGGTGCTACTGCCCAGCTGGTAGAAAGGGCTGTTTTTGTGTTTGCATCACATCTGTGCCCCCATTTAATAGATAAAGGCCCAGGAAGTGAAGTGACCTGCTCAAGGCCATGTGTCTGGGGCATACAGACCAGGGGTCCAGACCCAGGGCCCTGCAAACTCTTAGCTTTTCTCAGGCTGAAGCTAGCCTGGGTTTCAGGAAAGCTTCACCTGCAGAGGGGCCAGAAAGGAACAGATGATGTCTGCAGCTCTTCACTAGGATGCTCCTGGTGTCCTTGCAGATACAATGCAGCGTACTACAGAGAAGAGTCAAGGTCTTGCCCCTCAACTCCCTGCCTGTGCCGGTGAAAGGAGGGAGGGAGGGCTAGTAACCCAGGAGAGGTCAAGATTTAGCATGAGTTGTCCACAGCCTCCGCTGGTGACAGCCACCTCTGAGTATCCTGTCTTTAGGTCCAATCCCCAGGGATAGCAACCAAATCCATCAGCACCCAAGAGTCCTTCTGGATCTTCCTATGAATTCTGCTTGGACTCTGCCTCATCTAGAATTCCCTAGGAACTGAGGGGATGGGCTCTGCCTTGCATCCCCGAGCCAGAGCCAAATAATCATACCAGATAACCACAAACTCAATAACCACACGGCTGGCTGGTGGGCACTGACCACTTTAGAACTTTATTAACAGACAGAAACGTCCCCTGTACATATTTAACACAGCACCCGGCCATCCATGGCATTTTCCTCCCACTCACAACAGCAGAGGGAGTGGGCAGGGTCTCTCCTCTGCATCCTTGGTACCCAGGCCACACAGCGGGTCTGTGTCTAGGCTCCAAACCCTAGATCTCAGGTGTCATGTGTCATGATAATCTCCAACTTCGGCCCCATTCTACCATCCCTAGATCGACTTGTACGCAGGCGCCCTTTTCGTGCACATCTGCCTGGGCTGGAACTTCTACCTCTCCACCATCCTCACGCTCATCATCACGGCTCTGTATACCATTGCAGGTGCGGGGACCACCTGTCAGCTCACCCTGCCCCAGGGCTAACCATGGGGGGAAAGAGGGGGAGAGAGGTACAAATGCATGAGGTGGGGGAGTCACCTCCTTTTAGGGAATCAGGGGTGTCCCCTAAAGAACAGCCGGTTCTGAGCAAAAGGGATGGAGAATTGGGGCCTGGATCTGTATGCCTGGTGGACTCTACAGCTCACAGCTTGCTCAGCTAGGAAAGCACAGGGGGCACAACTAGGAGACAGTGGGCCAGCCAGGAACTCTGCAGGTTGTCCATTTCCTTCTCCCTCTCCCCTGGAACTGAGCACTCTCTCCTGCAACCGTGCTCCCCTGCAGGAGGCCTAGCCACTGTGATCTACACAGACGCTCTGCAGACAGTCATTATGGTGGTGGGAGCAGTCATCCTGGCCATCAAAGGTAAGAGCTGGGGACTGTGGCCCCTGATGGGGGTGGGGGTGTCCCAGCCCCCTGCAGGGCTCCTGAGGCAAAGCCAATAGACTGGGCTTGGTGGCTGATGGATGCTGCCTCCCTCCTGCCCACCCACGCTGTGCTGGTGTCACCACAGCGTGGTGGGAGCTGACTCAGGAACACAGGGTGGCCCTGCCGCCCTGGCTCAGGGCTGGATGAGGTACAGCTAATGGCAGGTGTGGAGACACACAATTAGGAGACCACAGAACCGCCCAGGCGGCACCTCCAATTGTTTAAAATCATGTACAAACTCCCAAGGGGTGATGCTGCCTCTGCAGACAAAGGCCAGGGAGGAGAGGGGAGTTAGGAGATTGGCCACGCCAGTGCAGCAACAGACAAGGAAGCTTACTGGACCGCCCTGGGCAGGGAGCTCCCTGTCCCTGGAAATACACAAGCACACAAGAACTGAGCCTTTGGAGATGAAGCCACTAGACAACCTGCCTAGACTCAGTCTGAGGCCCTGAGGTTGGGCAATCTCTAACCCTTATGGAGCATTTGTTCATTCACTCTGTGCCCAGGGCTGGCCCGGGCTCCACGGTGCAGGCAGCAGGGGCACCCTCTTCCAGGTCCTGCTGGGTAGGGGACAGGAGCCCCCTTATAGGTATGCTCCCTCCTCACACATCGGGGGGCCTTGTTTCCCAGAACCCACTGCAGGTGAGGGACCGACATCCAGTGCCAAGTCTAGGTGGGAAGGAAGTGACTCCAGACTTGGCAGAGGCACAGTCAGGCCAGGGCATGGCCACGCATAGCCCCGGCCGTGAGGTAGACCGAAACAGTCTGGGGACAGCTAGGCTCTGGAGCCCCACTTGCCCAGTGGGCTGTAAGGATTTGCAGGTGAATCTCAGCTTCCCTGTGTCCACATGGGGGTTGGGCGGGGGGGGGGGGGGGGGGGGGGGGGGGGGGGGGGGGGGGGGGGGGAAGGGGGGGGGGAGGGGGGGGGGGGGGGGAGATGTCACAGTGCTGCCAGCCACTCTCGGCTCTAGTGAAATCACCCCCTTTCATAGCCCAAGTCCTTGAATACCAAGAAAAAAGATTTTCACTACCTTGGAGAGACAGGACCTCTTGCCAGGCCCATGTGCAAAATGCTCATTTAATAGTGTTATTTTAAATACAATAAAATAGTTATTCAAATTCGTCTTTTTTTTTAACTTCTATCCAACCCCACTTTCCCAAATGCCAGGGGAGGTGAGGATGGTAAGTCTCTAGTTTTGATGCATCAGCAGGCTATCTGTGAGCCAGGGAGTCCAGGCCACCCAACCACCAACCCATCCCTATCCTACCCAGCTTTCGACCAGATTGGCGGTTATGGGCAGCTGGAGGCAGCATACGCCAGGGCCATCCCCTCCAGGATCATTGCCAACACCACCTGCCACCTGCCACGTGCAGATGCCATGCACATGTTCCGGGACCCCTATACAGGGGACCTCCCGTGGACTGGGATGACCTTTGGCCTGACCATCATGGCTACCTGGTACTGGTGCACGGACCAGGTGAGTGCCAGTGCCACTCTGCCCTCCAGGATGGGGGGCTTAGACCAGGCTGCTAAGGGTCCTTGTGGTCCCGGGGGACCTGGGACCTCCGCTTAGAATCAGATGGGGCCCACTGGCTGCTGACGGTCCTAGCCTTTAGATGCTTTGCTTGAGACAGTTTGGAGTACGGGATTCCAAAGGGACTCCGATGCTCCTCGGTGGCCCTGCCGTCAGCCAGGATGTGGGTGTTTCGAGTGGGCCTTGAGCTCCCAAGATCTGGTAGCACACGGGGTGCTGAGCTACCCTTGGTTTGCCAGTGGTGAGGGCCTGTTGTGGCCGGGCTTGCTTTCCTGGAAGAGGTGTGTGTACCATCAGCAGCACGGTGGTACTGGTGGGCCCCGGAGGTCCTCAAGGCAGGGCCCCCATGATGATGGAACCGCTGGTCCTAGGAAAGAAAAGGCAGAATGAGAGTCTCCCCGGGCCACAGAGCCAGCCAGACCCAGGTTTGACTCCTGGCTCTGCCACTCACCAGTGGGTTTAACCATATTGTGCTTCCATTTCCTCCTGTTTGGGATTCATTCTGCCATCTGTGGTTGTAAGGAAAGTTCCTGCCTCCCTTCCTTGCTGCCAGGCCCCAACTCCCTATATCCATCAACAGGGTGGATGTAGTTGGAGAAAGACCCAAAAGGGGTACTGGAGCCATGTGTTGAGTTTCTGGTGATGGGGTGACTGGTAATGTGTCTCCTCTCCCATCTTCAGTCATTGATGTGATCTCAGACAAGCTGCTCTCCCTCTGCAATGCTGTGGTGTCCTAGGGAGCCTCGAGTGGCTAGAAGGCCGTGTGAGGCAGTTCCAATCAGCATCTGTGACCCTAGCCCCAGCCCACTGTAGGGGCAAGCAGGCCACAGCCACCACTGGAAAATAAGTATGATCTTGTACACACACCTCCCAGAGAGTCAGGCAGGGCTAGCTAGGTTCACAGGCAAACACCAAGGCTGGGACAGGCTGAATGCGCCCATAAGACAAGCGTGACGGTTCTGGGTTTCCCAACAGCAAGGGCTCCGTTAGCATCTACCAGAAGACCCTTCCTGGTTCTAAAAGCTGGTATCAGAGGTTCTGGGAGGCCAGGCCTTAGTCTCCCCATCTGTTTTGTGTTGCTCTCAAGCAGGGCCCCTCTCACCTCTGTGATTCCCAGACCCCTGAGATCCTTAGGGGTATGGACATTCCTGCAGGGCTGACCCCTACACGCCAGCCAATTCTTGTTTCCTACCACGTGGCATGGCCTAGTCAGGCGCCTCTGGGTGGAGCATGTCCCATGAAGGCCATGTGACTGAGCCCTCATGCTGGCCTCTGGGGCAGGGCTGCACTGGCCTTGTTGTACAGATAAGATGGGCCCACTTAGGTCACCCAGGGAGACAGGGTGGTCAGATACCAGATACGTTCATAGCAGGGTCTCAGCCCAGCCTCCCAGGCCTCCTCCCCAGCAACCTTAGCTGGTTCTGCTCAAGGTTCCCTGGGTGCTTTCAGGACACCTGGGCACTCTATTTCTGTGTGCTGGTATGACAGGGGCTTTTGATTTTCACTCTGCGGGCTCATCCACAAAGCAGGTGAAAATTTTGTAATATGAAACAAAGCCAGTAGGAAATGGAGCAGAGTCCAGGAAGCAGAGCCCAGGCCTCAGCACCCCTGTCTGAGAGTAAGTGTGCACAGATAGGAATGTCTCCTGGGACCCTGCAGCTGGGGAGGCTGCAAGCTCTCTGTCCCCCACGGATGGGCAGCGTGAGGCTGAGTAGCTTCCTCTGTCAGTCAGCATTGGCCTCAGCCACAGCCATGACCATCTTTCATGATGAGCCATGGCTGGCTGTGGCCACACTTTAAGGGAAGCCTCAGATCCACTGAGAAAGGGATCTGACATCTTTTTACAAAAGGCTGGGGAGCCAGGCACAGAGTTGGCCACCTGCCCCAGCGGCCTCACTTACTCCTTGGGCAGGAACCTATATACATACAGACAGTAGTTCAGGGTGGCAAAACACTGGGCTCAGCAGGGAGAACAGGTTGCTGTTTTGGCAAGAGGCCCACGGGGAAATGGCTTCTGGCACCAAGGGGAGAAGGATAGTGAGCCTCATGTCTCGGGTCCTTTGAGCCTTAGCCTCTCCACCGAGGGTGCCACATGTCCCAGCACCAGCTGCCATGAACATGCGATGCATAACAGAGACAAGCTTCCATCCATGGAAGAAGAGAGACATTCAGGGTTTGAGGGACTTTTCTGTCCTGTGACTCCTGAGGCCCCATAGCTTTTGTTTCTTTCCAGTGGTACTAGGGATAGAACCTTGTACACATGCTAGGCAATACTCTACCACTGGGCTAAACCCTGGACCTCCACTGTTTTTTTTTTTAAAGGAGACTCAAAACATGAGAGCAGGGGGACATCTCAGATATCATCAGTCCTAATTATGGCTCCCTCCACTCCCCACTCTGCACAGCTGGAAACTGAGACCATCAGGATTTCCCTAAAGCTCCCAGGGGAGGTGGGGCCCCCAGGCAGCTCCTAGAGACCCTCCCTGCTGAGTGAGCTTCCTGCCTCTCCCCATGAAACACACAGCTCCCAATACATGCCTGTATGTGCCATCACTCTAGTGAGGGGCCAGGACGGAAGTATCTCTGCTATCTTGGAGATATGGCAAATGCCAGGAGACCTACATCTTCTCTGTTATGGATGGAGAGACTGGGATCAGGAACAAATGTATTTGGTCAACTGGACAGAACTCTCCTGGTGGGATGCCTCTGATTGGTCACCTGGGGCAGCCTGGGGCCAATGGGACCACTCCCTCAGGCCTATCAGGAGTGATCCTGATACAGGCATCCCTCAGGGCTGGGACTTACTCCCTCTCTCACCTGGCCTGCAGGTCATTGTGCAGCGGTCACTGTCTGCTCGGAACCTGAACCATGCCAAGGCAGGCTCCATCCTTGCCAGCTACCTCAAGATGCTTCCCATGGGCCTGATGATCATGCCTGGCATGATCAGCCGTGCACTCTTCCCAGGTAGGACAGGCTCTATGGCTGAGGCAGGCTTCAGGGCACCCAGGCTTCTGAGGCCTTGTCCTGTGAAGGTCACTAGGAGGAGTTGGAAACTGCTTGTGGCATAGAAGGGAAGAGGAAGCTGTCACTATGGCCACAGAGGGAGGGACACAAAAGTGGCTTGGTACAAGTTCTGAATAAGGACTGCTTACAGCTGGGTAACCACCAAAGTGTAAAGGAACACCTCTGTGCACCCACTGTTTTCTTGTCTGCAAACGAGGGTCTGTGCTATCTCAATAAGTTTCAAGGTTCTGTATAGGACATTTGGGGCCTATAGGAGTGGAAACTCCTACTTCTTTTTGATTGCTTTGTCAGGACTCGGGGACCAAAAGTCCTCAGGGAGGGAATGGCTGGCCACCCACACGGCTCTGGGTCATCTCACCCTACTGTTCATCAGCCACTCCATCTATAACGAAAGGAGTCATCAGAGCTGGGGACACAATGGTCCAGGCATGGCAACTCTGGCTCTGTGGCTGTGATTGGGGGCGGGGCTCTTGTGACCCACCTGAGCCTCCCGGTGCACAGCACGCTGGGCCTGCGTCCTCCTTGGTGCGGCCATCTCTTCTTTCCCCTGGGCTTGGCCCCACAGGGAGCCACCTAGAGGGCCACCAAAGGTTCCTCGGGTTATATGGGGGGCACTCAGCTGTCGGCGGGGTGGCTGGCCTGGCCCATTGGCCATCTGCTCTGAATGGCGCCTCCGGAGAGGGGTGGTCCGCTCTCTCACCTCAAAGTACTCATCTGACATGGAAGAGGCAATGGAAGGTCGCCGGGGACCAGGGCCTTGGCCAGAGCTGCCTGAGAGGCTGTCCTGGTCACTGAGGGTCACATAATCATCATCATCTTCCTCCTCTTCTTCATCCAGCCCATTGGGGAGCCTTGTCTCCAGGCTGTCAGGGCCATCCTGGGTCACAGACAGCTGCTGCTCAAGTGGGACGTGGCCTGGGCCCATCGTCTTGGGCAGCATGTCTGTCCCATTTGGGGTCATCTTCTCTTCTGGGGTTTCTGGGGTCCAGTCAACACCAGTGCCAACCTGGGCAAGTATGTCTGCTACAGGGACTGTCCGGGGCTTAGGTACTGGGGTTTGAGGCTCAGTATCCCCATGGAAGAGACCATTTTCAGCTAGGATCCCATCCTGGGTGTCCCTGGGCTCAGGGGGAGGGAGAGGGTCTGGGGACGGACGGCTCTCCTGGCTCTGCTTCCACAGCTGGTGCTGGGTACTGGCATGGGATGTGTCGCGGATCTTGATGCGATTCATCTGATTGGGCTGTGGGTTCCAGATGTTGGGGTCGATGATGTTGATGTAGCCCAAGATGTCACTGCCAGGCTCTGGGTCCGGCTCCACCCACGTGGGCAAGTACTCGAACATGTTTGCCCTCTCCAGGTTGAGCAGTCCTGGGTGGACAGGCGGTAGCAGCTCAGGAAGGTCCCCCGGCCGCTCAGCCAGCGCGGGCCCCCGCAGCCCGGGGGGTCTCTTGACATCCTGATTCTCAGAGGAAGTCTTAGCAATCTCGTCAACACTCTTGGCCTTGACCAGCGCATACTTGGGGTTGACAAGCTTCTTGGCCACAGTGACCGTGGGGGCCAGGGGCACCACAGAGGGCAGCACAATGGGCTCCGGCTCTGGCTCTTTCTCCATGGGGATGTCCTTGAGGCTGACGCCCTGTGACATGAGATATAGCTCTTGGAACTGCCGGTCAAACATCTCTACCACCTGACCGGACAGCACAGAGATTACATTCCTGTCTGTCCTCGCGGCCGACCATGTGAAGCTGTAACATAGAGACAGGGGCAGCATGAGTCAGGCACACAGCATCTGCTGCCTCACTGGGCCTAAGTCCCCTGCTTTAGAGAGTCCTCCCAGTCCCTGCTGTAACAGGTCCCCCATGCACCCTGGCTAGTGTTCCATCAGACTATACCAATAGGGCCCCGAGATGGAGATTTAGCAGAGTGATATGCAGAGGATGGCAGAGCTGTGCAGTCACACCAGAGTCTGGGAGCCCAAACCCACCAGAGCACTGTAGTCCCTCAGGCTGTTCCTGGCTTGGAGAAGCCAGTGACATCCCTCTGTGACAGCAGCCTCTGGCACCAGGCATTGCCCAGCGTAAGGTACCATCACTGCAGTCTTTGCTGCCATTAGCCCTGTAATGACTATGAGCAGCTGCCCTGTCCTGAGGGGCTGGGTATGATGGGATCTGCAGAGCTAAAGCTATCCTTGAAGAGGTACAGCCTGACCTGGCCCCACCCCACCTCAGCCAGTGTCATGGTGGGCTGAGAATGACAGTCTGCTAAGATTAAAAAAAGCCCTCCCCCCCCCCCCGTTTACCCTCAGAGATAGACAGTAGGGGACCCAGCCTCCCCCCCCCCCGGCACTTGCCCCAGCAGTCTGCAGACTAGTCATCTGAAATAACCACATTATCACCCATCAGATAAAGAGCAGAAAGCAGTTGGGAGACAGAGGCACCTCTTCCTTAAGCCCCATGGAGAATCACCTGTAGGAGCCACATACTGCTCGGTCTCCATCCACGAACATGAACTTTTGGGCCAAGGCGCCCTTGAACTTGGTGGCCGACCTCGTGAAGAATTCAGTTCCCCCACTGCTGCGTACTCTGAGATTCTGTGTTGGGAAAGGGGAGGCAGGGTTAGACTCCACAGCAAGTGAATGCATGGGGTTGGGGCAGCTGCCTAGGACTTAGGGAAAAAACCGGGAGGAACAGGGACATGGAAGAGGCCTCACAGGCCTGGAGAAAGGGGCTGAGTGTCTGGGGTCTCAGGAACCTGTGAGGAGAGCATAGGAGGAAATGACACTGATGAAGGGGGTCTGGGCCAGGATGTTCTGGGTATTGGCTCCAAGTGGCCACAGCATGAAGTAGGTGAGGCCTGTGTGATGAGCATGCCTCTGATTCCATAGGCCTGTGATTGGTCAGGAATTTCAGTGTGAACATAGCCCTAGGGACAGGAAGTCCCAGGAGCATCCTGAGCAGTCAGCTCAGGCCTCAATAGCGACACATTCTTTGTTGGACCTTGCCGTGACTTAAGTGACTTAACCCATCTGGTTCATTAACTCCCACATGCTCACTTGCTCACTAACCCCCACTGAGGCCCCCTGTGGCAGACACAGAAAAGACAATGCCCAGGATCCGTAGGGTGGAGGCAAAGGAGGAGGCAGATGTATAAACACCACCAGGAAATACCCAGGACCACGGAGGAGTAATCAAGGAGGCTCCAGGAAAGGATGGCTGACACAGTGAGGGTGGGAGGAGGGGTACAAAAACCTGCCAGGAGCAGGAGTTGAAGAAAGCTGATGAAAGACTCTGCACCTGCTCAAGGCCAGGGCATCCCCAGGCAGCAGGAGCTTGAGACATCCAGGGCAGAGTACAGGGTCGATCTGCGCAGCTGGACCACCTCTGACATGGTGGGGCCCACAGGAGGATTCATAAAATGAATGAGGAAGCTGGACGTGGAGAAAGGTGTGCCATCTGCCTGCCCCTCTGCCCCTCTGGCTGGGGCAAACCCAGGGCAGCATCCACAGAGGCTGCAAGGGTGGCCTCAGGGTGGGTACCCATGAGATGCCCACCCAGCCACCCACCAAAGTGTGGAATAAACAATCGCCTTGTTGTTAGGCCCAGCCCAGAAGGCAGATAAGCCTTGTTCCCAGGGCTAGCTCTCCGGCCCGCCCCGAAAACTCCAGTCTGCACACAGCCAGCTCAGCAGGAAGCTGGCCCTGGCCCAGGACAATTAACACTTGTGACTTTGTACCTAACATGGAGCATGCTTGCTGAGGATCAGAGGTCAGCAAAAGATCTTAGAAGCCTTCTCTTGTTGCATGTGCCCAACCACAGTCCAGCTCTTCAGCAGTCTCCTGTGCTCTCCTGGTGCATGCCTATGTGCTGCGGTCATGTGACCCTTCTCATCTACCAGCCTCTACACTGCCTCCTATCCACCCCAAATCTTGTTCTGACCAAATGCCCAGAAAATGACCACTTATATCTCAGCATGATTCAGATGCCATGTGAGGAAGGCCTTGACTGCTACCAACCTGCTGTGGAACTCTAAGCAAGTCCCTGGGCTCTCTGGACCGAAGTTTTCCTGTCTGTACTCTGGGGCTTGGCCCTGAACCTGAAGGCTCATCTAACACTGGGGCTCAGCAGCAGGTGGGGGCTTGCACCCAGCCCCCACCCTCTGCCTCATGGGCTGTCCCTGGCCTGTTCCTGAGTGGACCCGCCCCACAGGCCTGGCCTGGATGAGGTAATGTCTCAGATGTCTAGGCTCGTGTGAGACAAGGTGGAGAATCCTACAAAGCTGCATTGTCTCGGGACCTGGGGACGTCCCGGCAGAGGATAGGCAGAAGGGTGGAGGGACACTGGGCTGGCTCAAGTGGGCGCACTGGGAAAGTCCCTGGACCCTCCGCGGCCTCCAAAGGGCAAGGATGAGGGGCACCAGCACGGGGGTGAGCCACAGCACCCTTAGGCCTCAGAGCCACTATACTCGTAAGACTGTGCGACTCCATCCATGCTTCTCCATGCCTCAGTTCCTCACCTGTGAAACAAGCCCACCCACCTGGGCTCCAGGCTGCTTAGTTTAGTACAGGAGTGATCCCAGTGGAGACCTATGAACTGTAGGTGGCTTTGTGACGGCACAGTATGTCCTGATGAGGACTTAAAAACACTCAAGATGAGTGAGCCAGGTGTGGTGGCTCACATCTGTAATCCTAGCTGCTTTGCAGGTGGTTTGAGGATCTATAGTTCAAGGCCAGCTGAGGCATCTCATGGAAATGGGGAGGTAATATGATGGGAAGCCTAAAATAGATAGATCACATCTGGGAAAGAAGCAAGCCCAATCTCAAAAATAACCAGTGCCAAAAAAGGGCTGGAGACATGACTTAGCAGTAGAGTACCTGCCTAACAAGTGTGGGGCTCTGAGTTCAAAACCCCAATATCTCAAAAACTTCAACAATAGAAAACTACCCAGGTCTGGACCCCTAATGGGAGCCAGAACCGTCAGCCATACTTGGTGAGGGCTGGGTGGGCTCAGGGAAGGAAGTGACTTGCCCATGGCTTCTCAATAGGCCAGGAGCAGCCCAGATTCAGGGACAGTGGATGGGGTTCAGCTGTCCGGCCTCTTCTAAGCCGGAGACTAGTGGGAGGTCCAAAGATGCATCCCAACCAGGCCTGAGCTAGGAATGGTGAGGCCAGGCTAGGCGTGTGGAACTCAGGGAATAGAGAGGTAGGAGCCTGTATTCCTGTACTACTGGCCTGGGCTCTGTTCTGAAGGGCCTGTTCCACTCTATAAAGTGTGTGTTGTCAATATTCATACAGTTGTCATCCTAGGACAGGAAGTCCTTTGTGAACCACCTTCATGTGACCAGGGGCCAGATGGGGCAGGCCTGACCCAGCCCAGCTCCAAGCCCTAGTCTGCGCCTCCTAGCTTTTCCCTGGAGTCAGGCTGTGTAGGACTGACGCTGTGGGCTAGGGCGCTGTGTTGGGGCACTGTAGGATGGATGACAACATCCTTGCGTCTACCTACTAGATAACACTCCTGCTCAGATTCATGACAATTAAATATTTCTCTGGCTGGGTGTGGTAGCCAGCTACTGTGGAGATGAACGTAGGAGGATCCTCAGTCTCAGGCCACACCATGCAAAAGCATGAGACTCTATCTGAAAAATAACTAAAACAAAAGGGGTAGGACACCTGCCTAGCAAGTGCAAGGCCTTAAGTTCAAACCTTAGTGCCTCCCCACCCTACTACATACAGACATTTCTGGACATCACCCAGGGATATAAGTGCCTGTCCTATACCCCGGATCCATCAGAGACCCAGGCTTCACTCAGAGAAAGCAGGCCACAACCTGTTCAGGGAGGGGAAGGAGCTGGGCCCAGTCCTCCTCCCACACTTTCCTGTGTCCCCAGCTAGGGCCTAGTCAGCTATACCTCTGAGCCTTGCCGTCCGCCTCACAGCCTAGGAGAGCCAGCCAGGAGAGCCAGGGCATGGCAGCTGCGCAGCCATGCATCCGCACCTGAGCCTTCCCCAAGGAGGCTGGCTGCTTTTTTTTGTTCATTAGAAATGTGAACAACCGGCCCAGGTGATTGCGAGTTTTTTCAGTTTGGCTGCACAGGCCCAGAATGGCTGCACAAGTTCGTCTCCCACAGTTCCTGTTTTGGGGGAGCCATAAGCTTCAGTCCTCAACCCAGCTCCCACTGGTCTGCGATACCCCTCCACACCAGCATTACCCCCAAATGTGTCCTACTTATTGGCTGAGTCCTGTGATCCTGGGAGAGGAGGGAATGGGGCAGAAGAACTGGGTGTTCTTTCCAAGGACGGCTCCCCATCTGTAATACAGGGTTCACTCCTTACTCCTGCCTGCAGGTGTCAGGGCACCTGGGCAGGCAGGCTACGGCAGCTGAGAGCCTACGTTGGAACAGCGGCTGGGCACAATGTGTGGCATGGGCTTGATCATTAGCAGTACAATTTCTAGAAGATGCTAGTGTAGAACCAGAGCTAGGGAAGGGGGGGAGGTGGGAAACAGCCAGACCACAGCTCAGAGGCAAACAGAAGCCATCTGGCATGCAGACTAGACCCAGGGCCTGTCCAGAGGGGCCCAGACCATCACTACACAGGACATGACAGGAAGGAGCTCAGTCCCAAGTGCTCCCCTCATGTCTCCTCTGCTCTGCAGCATGGCCCTGACGGTGGACACATTTTCAGACAAGCAATGGAGAGAAGCTCAGAAAGCTAGTGACTACCCAGGGTCACCATGCACTGGCAGTCAGGGCTCAGGCCTGGCTCTTGTTGTCTCTTCACACTGGCACCTGTCATCCCTGCAGTCACAGATGTGACCCTACAAGGTACAGGCTGTACCCTGGGCCCGGGGATCTGGGAGCAGGTCACTGCAGGGCTGGGTGGAGGGAGGGCAGGCTCGGATTACTGCATAGGAAGTACTCTCTAGACAGGCCCAGGCCCAGCCAGCCGGCGGGCAGGGAGGACAGCCAGGTAGGAAGGCAGGCAGGTAGGCCCTCCATGGGGTGACACCTGGCCGGGCTATGCCCACAGGAGCCTCTGGCTACTTTCCCAGGGCCATGGAGGGGGGCAGCACAGAGGTGAGAATGAAGAAGCCTGTGTCACACTTTCCCAGGCACGTGTGTGGTTCCTGGGCACATCAACTTCCCAGAGAGGGAGGCAGCCAAGTGGGACAGGCTGGGCCATGGCCCATAGGCCCTTCTCTACCCTGATGGTCACGGGCCAGCTGAAGGGCTGGGGGTCGGGGGAGGCCTCACAACCAGGCCCCAACCCTATCCTCGCCCCAGGCCTGGGGTTTACAACCGATGGTTAGCTGCAGCAGAACTGTGCTTGGCACACAAAGAGCTCTATCAACCACTGTTCTTTCATTTCATCCACAGCAGCCTTATGAGCCATGGTTCTGGCCATGAGGCCCTGGGGGGCCAGGGACGGGGCATCCACATGCCCAAGTCCCACAGGGAGTCACAGAGCCCAGACAGACAGTAGTGGGATGTTGTGCAGTCCAGGCGTCTCTGCTGTCCCCACTGGAGCCCATTTCTCACTACTGGCTGTTAGGTTCACCTCTCAACTTAGCACAATCTTTCAGGCAAGTCACGACCTCCCTCAGTTTCCCCGTGTGTCTTATGGGAGCCCACTCTGGGTAGCCACATGCCTCTCTGGCTTGGGTGCTCCCCTGAAGCCATGGGCAGGGAGCCTGGTATGGACCTAACTGTACCCTACCCACCTCCCGCTTCCTGGAGATTCAAAAAACATCAGGCCAGGGAGGGAGGGGGCAGGGCTGCTCTGCTGAGAAGGGGCAGTGGGTACCTAGTAGGGACTGTGGCCTCTGGTGAGAGCCCTAGGTTAGGACAGCCCCAGCCCCACAGGCATAAGCCCTTCATCTGCATCCCACACTGGGGAACAAGTGTGCTGAGACACATAAAGCACACTGGGCACAGGGCAGGTGGTGGGGCATGCCAGGCACCCTGCTGCTGCTCTCAGGGAAGTCACATTGGAAACATTACTTTCTATACTGTGTCTATCCAGCATGAGCCATCTGCTACCAGGGACAATTCCAGGTGCTAATTACCTGGTGGCAGGTAGGCTGGGGTCAACTCTCCAGAGAGACCACATGAAAATAAATGTCTCGGAAATTAGAGGCACTACAGCAGAGAACTCATACCCACTTGAAAGGACTTGGCAGGGGGTGGGGTGTTAACAAATGCAGACAAATTACAGGCATGGAGCCCAGGCCTCATTAACCAGCCCAGCGTCCGTCCATGCCCACCCGCCCCCCCATCCTGGGACCCGCAGGCCTGGGAACTTAGACCTGGCAGAGGCTCGTGCTACTTTACAGGTAGTGATACCTGAGTGGTACCTCTACTTCCCCCAAAAGGAATGACAACCCCATCGCACCTGAGGACTAAATAAGCCAACCCATGGACTGCTCTACTGAAGCATTAGCTGCCTATGCATATGGCTCTGTTTTCAGGCAAGTTCTGCATATAAGAGGTGCCAAGCAAGGGCTGGGTGGGAAGAGGGTCTCTTCCACCCCAGGCAAGGCAGTGGCAAGTGCCAGTGTGTCTGGGTGGAAGAACCCAGCCACACCAACTCATGTGCTCCTCTGGGAGACCAATGAGATCCTAGAGCCCAGAGTGGGGAGGTGACAAGCTGAAGAACACACAGAAAAGCAGTGCTGAGAACCCAGGCCACCCTGCGTCCAAAAGCTGCCTTCTCTCTAGCTCGATCCTACTGCTCGTGGATTTCAAGGCCACTTCAACTCTGACCTTGGTCTGAGCCAAATTCTTGACTCAGCAGGTGGACATCATAAGAAGAGACGTGCCCCAGATGCTTTCTGGTGGCTCCATGCCTGTAATCCTAGCTACTCAAGAGGATGAGATCTGAGGATCACGGTTCAAAGCCAACCCAGGCAGGAAAGTCCATGAGACTCTTAGCTCCAGTTAACCACCAGAAAACTGAAGTGGCGCTGTGGCTCAAGTGGTAGAACACTCGCCTTGAGCTGAAGAGCTCAGGGACAGCACCCAGGCCCAGAGTTCAAGCCCCACTACTGACAAAAAAAAAAAAAAAAGGGAGAGGTGTACATCTAACCCAAGAAAGACTTCCTGATGGGCATGAGCTATCTGAAGAGTGGCGAACATACACCTGCCACCAGAGGTATGCATGCAACCAGGTCACCTGTGTGGCATGGGTGCTTTGAAATAACGTGTGACATAGTACCTGGCTCCAGCTCCTGCACCTGGTCGGAAAGCACTCCACAGCATTTATCTTATCTGCCTATGAGGTGGTGCCTATCCTGTTCCTCAGGGCATTCAAGCTATGTGACCACTTGGCAGGATGCTCAAGGATCACTGAACTCTTGTGTATCTGTGCACAACAAGCATGTATTCAGAGTGTTTGTTGATGGACTACGTGATCTCTGCCCTCTGGCCACCCCAGCAGGCAGGGAGTCAGCTCACCTTGAGGTGCCCGAGGTGCATTCGAGCCCGCTCACACATATGCAGGAAGTACTTGACGTTGCTCTCGTCCACAATGATGTACACAGCTACTTTTCTCTTGAAGCCGGCATCGAGCAGGTCCTTGAAGATGTCCACGTCGGTGAACATATCCATGACCACAGCTATCACCTAAGAGCAGAAAGCAACCAGGCCATCAGCCATAGCAGCAGAGAGAACAGCAACTCTCCCAGTCACATCTCTCGGGGCATCCCAGTACACTGGCCTGGCCCCCCAGCAACTCAGGCCTGGGGCCTGTCTGGGGCTGCTGTCCTCAGGCCAGCATTGGACAAAAGGCATGCACAACGGGGGGAAGGTACTCCAGGCAGCCTGGGAAGACTGTCCCCCAAGGTGCATGCAGTGTCCCAGCCTATCACCAGCTTCCTTGTGTGCACTGGGCTCACAGAGGAGAGCCCACCCAGGGGCTCAGGCCAGGGACACTGCTGCCCCACTCCTAGACCGCATTCCTGAGCCAGCTTTGGCTAAGCACTGCCCTTATCTGCTGAGACAGACCTCATTTGTCTCCACATCAAGAAGGGTAGGAGCTGGCATGGCCGTTGACCAGGGCCTCCTGGGCCCCTGGGCTGCAGAATAATTAGGCAGGCCTCCTTTGCTGTCTAGTGTGGACAGAGCATATTCTAATATGTATGTGCTGACATCTCCTATCCCCACCACACACGGGTGAGCTCCCCTCACCAGGACCTGGCTCTGGATGCGGCCCTAGAGGTCTAAGTACATTTATTGACTGTAGGCTGGCCCAGCCCATCACTGGCCCCAGCTTCCCTGGCTTGACAGAGGGTTGGGGCATAAAGGCCCAGGGCCAGAAGCAGGTGAGGCCTGGCTCCAGGAAGTACAAAGCTGGTGCCCATCACAGTCACCTGGCACTGCTGATCCAACCCCAGCACTCCAAGCTGCCACTCCTGCCCTTCACAGATGGTCCCTGTGCCTGGGACTGTGAATAGGAACCTGACAGAGACCAGCCCCAGGCCACGCAGAGAGCTAAGGACAGCCAGGCTGGAACCTACCCAGGCCAGAGAGCAGAGCTCACCGCCACACCCTGCTCCCATGCCTGGCAGGGCCCTCCTCTGGGATCTGCACTCATGGGGTGACAAGAGGCTGCCTGAAGTGTGCTGGATACAAGTCTGCGCACCCACAGTGAGCTCACCAGGCTGGCCCCTGCAGGCCCATCTGGGCTCCTCCCAAGCCCTAAGCCCCTGCTGATGCCTGCTGCTCATCTGGCACCAAGAACCAAACTCCTGTACTGAAAAACACGAGGCTTGGCCTGCCACAGACTTGCTGTGTAGTCCTGAGCAAAACCCTTAATCTCTCTGGGCTGTCTTCTCATCAGTATACAGGCTTCATCTCTCAGCGAGCGCACTCACATAGAGCAATGCTTGTAGAAAGACTCCAAGCTAGAGGAGGGTTTTGAGGAGGGGATGCTCATGTGCTGCCCTCTCCCCATCACCCACCTGATATACAATTGTTTGCATTAAGTCTTCTCAGCCTCTACCCCATCCTCTTGCGAATACCATGGTGGTGAGATCCCAGCACACACCTGAGGCTTGCTGGAGGTCCTGCACCAAGTAGGAGTAAGGCCTGGCCTGGCTAGAGCTGGTTTCCAACCCTGTGCCTTGGATATGTCTTTGGGGCCTGGCAGGTATTGGTCCACCCTGAGTAGAGGTGCAGGGCCCAACAGGACTTTGTGTATACTCAGGGAGAGGAATGATGTCGTTCGCTGTCTTTGAGCCTCTGAGGGGCTGTTTGGGGGCATGGGGTGCAGAGTGGATGTGGGGCTGGGTTGGCAGGGCACGGCAAAAGGGAAGATGGTGTGGGGTAAAGAAGTGCTCCCCCCATAATCTCCAAGCATCCTGACGCTAGGCAGCTCTCGAGAGTGAGCACCCCATCCTAGTTGGAGTGTAAGCCAAGGGCAAACTGCATGGGGAGGAAGTGAGACAGGGAGACGCAGGCACACTGTGGAGGCCTGGTGACCTTGCAGCTCACTACCACCTGAGTGGGCTGGATGGCTGTGTGGCAGCAGGGACCTCCGGCCTGCGCTCCCACAGCACCCAACGCTCTTCAGATCCACAGTCCCTCAGAGAGGCCACCCCCAGGCAAACAGCCTCAGGTGTCACCCTGCAAAGGAGCCATATGAGGCTCAACCAACAGCACCCTTCTGTCCTAAGGCTTGCACCCCAGCTCCTCCCCAACCTCAAATCCATCATGGCTGCTACCAGGCCTTGTGCCCTGGGCTTGGACTGAGGACCTGCTCTGGCAGTTCCTGTCCCCTGGAGGGATGCTGTCCTCAGCCAGGCAGGGGACCTGATCCAGGACCTGGCTGATGCCTGCTCCCCAAGGGGGATGCTAGAAAGGTTCTGTGACTAAATGTTGGCTCCCCAACTCTGAGCTGATGCTGATGTGGGGTGCTGCCTGGTGCTCCCCGACTCTAAAATAATGCTAGGGTAGGAGAAGCTGTCTGGTGTTCCAGGACTCTGAGATGATGTTGGGTGTGCCTGGTGCTCCCCAACTCAGAGGTGATGTTGAGGTGGGAGGGGCTGGCTGGTGCTCCTGGCCTTGGAGATGACACTGGGTGGGGGCAGGAAGTGGCACCCCTCAGTGGCCGCCACAGCCTGGTCTGTCCACATTTAGGCCACTAAGGTTCTGTGGAGGGCCTCGAGGCCTGTCATGCCTGGGCAGCTTTGCAGATGGAAAGCAGGGAGAATTCCTTTAGGGGGCTGGAACCCAGACCCTGTACCCCATCACCCATACCACATGTTTGCAAGATGGCGCCAGTCCCGGCTTTGAGCTGCCCAACTGGTGTTCTGGGCAGAGGTCACCTTGTGGGATGTTCCCACAGCCTGCCAGCAGCGGCTCCTCCTCCCATTTTGCAGATGAGGAAACTGACAGGCAGCTTCACCCCCTGGCCTCCTCACCTGCCTTGGACAACCCGGCTCACTGGCAACAATGAGCTCATCAAGGGGCAGAGCCCAGCACAGGGCCTGCCTGGCCAGGGGGGTGGGGCTCAGGAAGTTTCCATCAAGTGAAGGTGAGACAAAGCAGTTTGGTCCATGAGGGACTGCAGCAACAAGGCCTGGCAAAGCCACATCCTTCCTGGGCCCTTGGTTTCCTCATCTGCCAAATGGGGCTGTGGGCCCAGCTTCTCTCTGTTCTCCTAGCTCCATCACCCACAAAAGACAGCACCAGGCCCCTCCCATGCCACAGGCCTGAGTGGGCTGTATTCCCTCTCTGGGCCTCAGTTTCTACATCTGTGAAGTGGATTGGTAGACAAGATGTCTAAGGCCTATGCTGGCCGTGCTGTGCCTCCAGGGTCTAGCCAGGCTTGTCTGGGCCAGCCAGAGCAGCTCACCACACCCCCCAGCATCCCACACACTTCTGCTGGCCAGGTGTGGACACGAGCACCCAGACTCAGTGGAACAAAAACACCCTAACTGACACAGTGGGTGAACAGACCTCCCAGGAAGTGCTGGGGAGGAGGAGCATGTAAGACAGGCAGCGGGTGTCAACATCGCTAGGAAACTACTGGTGCACAAGCCCAGCTTCTGCAGCAGCCTCCCCCCATCCCCAAAAACCATCCTGCCTCAAACCACCAGTTCTCTATACTAGCTGCCTCCTGGCAGGTGCTTGCTAATTGTGCCTCTATCTAGACAACTCCTATCCACCCTTCGAAACCCAACTCAAGTACTGCCCACAGACCACTGCTCTGGCCCATCTGGCTTAATGAAGCATGTTATCATTTGTGATGCCAAAGCAACAAGTCCCTCCAGGCCTGGACCCTAAGATGGGGCTAGGAGGGATTTCCAGTACAAAGACAATGAAGCCCCCTGCAGGTGCTCAGGGAGCCAGCAGTGGAGAGACACACCCCAGTCCTCCCTGGAGTCCTGAAGTGGCCTCCACACGGTGCATGGCTACAAACAAGTCATGTTCTCCACCAGGGGAGGCGTGGCGGGGATGGAGGCTGCATATCTGGCTCTGTACTTAACTGGGATGGTGGGTCCGGGACCCATCTGGCTCCCATCGCACCTGCTCCTGGGGAGCACAATGACATCAAGCAGGCACCTCACCTTCCTTTTGTGGATAATGACAAGCCCCACACACCGGCGGCTGTTGGAGGATGAGGTGAATGAATGCGGGGAACTGGCATGGGGCCAGCAAAGGGCAGCTGTAGTCACCCTGCTCCTTACCCCGCTAACTGAGCCCTGCTGCACTGGACCCCCACCACCCTGTGTGTGAACAGGCCAGGAGTGATCACCTCCTGCCTCTGCTTTCCTTCTGGCCATCTGGAGAGCCAAAGAGGGCAGCGCCCGCCATCCAGAGCTGCTCAGAGGAACTGGAAAGTGTTGCAGATTGGTTTAAAGGTTGTGACCACACGGCTAGCCACTGGTGGCTCACACCTGTAACCCAAGCTACTCAGGAAGCTGAGATCGGAGGATCATTGTTAGAAGTCAGATAAATCCCTGAGACTCGTATCTCCAATTAAACATCAAAAAGCCAGAAATCAGCCAAATGCTGGTGGCACACAGCTGTAATCTTAACTACTTAGGAGGCTGAGATCTGAGGATCATGGTTGGAAGCCAGAGCCAGCTCAAGCAGGAAAGTCTGTTTCTTTTCTTCAATTAACTACCCAAAAGCAAAAAGCGGAGCTATGGCCCAAGTGGGAAAGCATCAGTCTTGAGCAAGAAAAGCTAAGGTTCAGTCTCTTAGCCCTAAGTTCAAGCCCGAGTACTGGCACCAAAAAAAAAAAAAAAAAACCAGGCTGGAAGTTGAGGTATGGCTCAAGTGGTAGAACACCAACCTTGAGCAAATAAGTTTAAAAAAAAAAAAAAAGGACAACCATGGCAACCTGGTACCCAACTTCCACTTCTAGCCACAATGGGGAAACAAAGGCTGAATCCGTCCACTTCAAAATGAAACACTCCCACAGGCACTACAAAGTCAAGGGCAAGCCAGGAATTGGTGGCTCACACCTACAGTCCTAGCTACTCAGGAGGCTGAGATCTGAGGATCTTGGTTCAAAGCCAGCCCATTCAGGAAAGTCTATGAGACTCTGTTTTGTTTTTTTGGCCTGGTCATGGGGCCTGAACTTTGAGCCTGGGCGCTGTCCCTCAGCTCTTCAG